AGCCTTGTCATACCTGAGATTTTCACAACCTTCCTTAACAGGCTTACTGTAAGATCAGGAAGATGTCAGTAAAGGGAAGAACAGGAGAGTGCTTCCAAGGAAAGGTGGAAGGCAGTCCCATCTTATATCCTACCAAGCTGCTGTGGACTTTCAGTTTGAGATACACAGCCTCACTCCCAGTCATGAATATGTGTGCATCTGAATGTTTCAGAAGACCTACAAGCTCACCTTACTGAAGTTGCATAGCTATAGCTTGCTGTATGATCCTTGAAACACTGGTCAGCTTGTTTTGCAAGTAAAACACATAGAATCACCATATGGAATTTGAATTTCCACTAAAGAACAAAAATGCACCTACCCATTGTGGTTGTTCAGTAAATCTCCCTAGCAGGACCCAACTGTGCAGTGTTTCCTTTCTTGAGCCTGAAAAGAGCCTGAAACGATACCCATCAGAGAGGTAAACTGCCCAAACTGCTTGTTTCAATTCAGGCTTTGACTCAAAACCCTATTGACACCATTATAGCTGTCAACATTTGATACACAATACACGAATATATTTTAGCAGATGGAGAGGAATGGAAATAAAGCCAACATGCCATTGAGGCTCAGTTCAGAATTACTGGGAGGAAGAGAACTGGAAGAGGAGGGGTGCCAAGAAGGAAGTAGAGCAGAAACAGAGAAAGGAAGATAGGAAGGGAGGGAAAATCACTGCCGCCCAGTTCTGCTGAATCAAGCACTGAGGAGTAAAAGAAAAATAAACAAAGCTTTTCTTGCTGCAGCAAACGATTAAGCTTTGCTTTTGCTCTTTGTATAAAGCTCCCTCTGAGATTAGCAGGTGTAGACAAAAGGCAACATGTTTGCTTAGATTCACACCACAGCCCCTTCTTCACTGTTAGGCATGGAGTTTGTTCTCCTCCACAGGATGAACGGGATGTCCCTAATGTCACCGACAGCTCAGATGAAACAGCCTGCTAACCAGCCATTTTGAATTAATAAGAGTAATCCACATTATAAATCCAATAGCTCTATGGAAGTTACAAAATGGCACTAAAGTTTTGATAGGGTTTTGTTGTAACTAAAAATTATGGTCCTAGATTAAACAGATGTGTGATGCTACCATTCATCACTCTGTGAAGGGATGAGTACCTTTTTAAAAAAACTCAGTTACACAGCAGAAACACATATAGTAGGGACAAACTGACAGCAGAATAGTCCTTCCAACCTGCAAATGGAAACCGTATCTCTAGAATCTAATATAACGACAACTGTATTTCTAGAGTCTGATAAAAAGATGTCAGAAGCCAAGGAGGAGAGTAGATGTGTGAGCAAAAGGTAAACTGCAGATTTTGCCGTTGAGGGACCAGGATACCAAGAACTTACAGTTCAACATGTATAAAACAGGCCCATAATGTGATTTTCAGTACCCCTAGACATTTTCTAAAGAAGAACCTCTACGAATTCTCTCCCTATTTTCTGTTCCTACAGTGTTTACGAACAGAACATTTGCACTTCTTTTCTTAGACAAAGGTGATTTTTCACAAATTGTCTGCTTTTAAAGGACAAGTATATCAATTCACAACATTCACTATTCTTGTGCTTTTCTTTCTTTCTCCAAATACAAAAGAAGAATCAAAATTTAATACTCAACAGTCAACTTTTTTAGGGGATCCTTTTTCATGACATCTTTTCTGTTTCAGAGCTTTGGTAGCTCCATTTTTATAGAGCAAACTGGTTTGCCTACTTTTGGTCTCAGATTCCTATGCGCAAGCATAAGTCTGACAAACTTAATTTGTGTTAAGAAATAATTTTATGTTGTCATAGAAATCTGTGCAAGATGATCCAGGCATGAGCAAAAATGTAACAAAGGTACACTGACTGGTGCTTCTGCCAATGAAATTCCCCTTGTTGTTTGTGTCCCACTAGTGATTTCCCCACACCCTATGGCAAAAAGGGCAAAAGGATCTCCTCTTCACAGAATCACAGAATCACAGAATTGTAAGGGTTGGAAGGGACCTCCAGAGATCATCGAGTCCAACCTCCCTCCCAAAGCAGGTTCCCTACAGCAGGTCACACAAGTAGGCATCCAGGCAGGTCTTGAACATCTCCAGAGAAGGAGACTCCACAACCTCCCTGGGCAGCCAACCTCCCTGGGCATCTCATCTTGTCTGCTGAGAGGAACAATTTGCCTGGAGGGTGACTGCAGTGCCTTAAGGAGGCCACACTTTCCTGTCCAGAAGAGCGTTTGTAGCCAGTACAGTTATGCCATGGGGAGAAAATTAATGTTTTCTTTCAAAAAAGAAACAAAACTGCAATAGAAATCCCCAAAACTAATTGCAGAGACCTCCATGATACCACAGAAAGAGAGAGAATGCCTTGCTTCCACTATGCCAGGGGTCTGCTTCCATCAGCAGGAGTGAATTATGCCCACATCTTAATGTTTGCACAGCTCTTGTCATCCAGAAACAAGTTTTATTTCCATCAGAGAATACATCCAATGAATGGAACAGTAACAGGGAGAAAAAGAATCAATGAACATTGGTCATCATGACAAGTTTGTGTCCAGTTGCTTCACCCAGCACGCCTTGCCATCCTAATGACTCCCTGCCTGATATAAATGGACACTTTTGGAAATTTCTGGGCAATGAGAGCACCGAAACTGTGCTGCAACACCTGCACTCAACCTCGGCCATCAGAGACATTTACAGCCAAGACTTGCAACAGCAGTGAATACCTCTTATCCATGCCACTGCTGCCATCAGACTGACTCAACTAGATTCTTTCCCAGGGGAAATCTCGGTACATCTGCTAGCGCTGATTTGGCCTTCAAAAGGCTTTCAGCTAAAAGGTTATTGCTGTGGCTCCATGGCCTTACAAAGGGCAAAAGGGCAAAAATATTACTGCAACAAAGTCAGAAAATCTGTAACATTTTGTGCAGACTTGGGAGTCCCTCTAAGCAATGACTGGAAGAAGAGCAAAAGGATTCCCGTCCACAGTGCTCCTCTGGTGCAATTAGTACTGGAAACACTCCAAAAAGACAAGGACATGGATACATTACAGCTTCTTTTTGCCCCTAATGCTGATTAGTTGCAATATGTCAATAATTAGAACAGAGTTTAGTGAACAAATATTACCTCTTTTTCTGATGCTGTATAGTCCAGAAATTTTATTTTTCCCTTATTATTTATCATTTGAAAATATTTCCCAATAATGTCTCCAAGACCTTTTTGATTTGAAGCTTGCTCATGCTCCTTTTGCAAGTGTTAGAGACAGAGACAGGTCTGGCATCGCTTCTGATTCTTGATACGGTGAAAGCAGATTTTAGTGCTGGGTGTGCCACTGAATTCCAAACTGATATTTTCCAGCGTTCTCTGTAAAATGCATTTTTGTGGGCTATCTGTGCAGCTTTACCTTTGCTAATAAAGAAAAAGAAAGTCAGAACACAAGGGACAGGAAGACAGCTGAAGCATACTAGTGTAATGATTTATGCAGATATTGGTAGGCATTTTTGACAGGAGTCTAGTTACAAGAATCTGAATAGAAAGCCTTATTATTTCCTTCTTTTTTCAAGAAAAAGGTGAATAGGGGATGGAAAATGAACATAATTTAATTACCGTTGTTATTATTGTTGTTAGATTGTAACTGCCTATCTGCCACTTCCCCCCTATGTGCATATATACACATCTCTTTTTATGTTCACTGCCTGTCCGTAGCTTGTCTTATATATGCATCTCGTTATGTCTCATTATCACATCTCTTTCCCATGCTCTTTATAGTGCAAAACAAGGTGTGTATTTGGCTATGAAAATGCTGGAGGGGGTGTGTGCATTTTGCATGGGAGATGCTGCATTATCATGTCAATCATATCTCCTTCTCTTTCTTAGGCTTTGCAGATGAATCCTGGATGTGCCCCAGCTGGAATTCCGCTGGCACTGGAGAAGCTCAGATTTAGACACCACATTCTCAGCCCAGGTCCACTGGCTGTGATTCATATCCTGTTATCAAACAGGGACCCAACGCTTTCTTTCCAACATGCTGAAAATCTGGTTTAGAGATAAGCACATTATGTAGGTTGCTAGGAAAGGACTGTCTATGCCAGTTGAACCTCTACTCTGAGATCTCTTTTTTTCCTTTCCCCATAGGAAAGGCTGCTGCCTATTGTCCAGTCCAGCTACTGGAAAATGGGTAGAGGGGGACCACAGGGATCTAGCTCATTATTATGCACCCACTGATGCTGGCTGGGCATGCAGCTTCTACATGTTCCCCAGGCTCTTGCAGCAGCCTGTGCTCCATTAGTGTGGATACTCTCAACTTTACCATACAAATGAAGGGACACCCCAGCCTTGCAGCTGCAAGGAGGGGCAGTATATTTAAAAAGCAGGTGTAAGCACAGCACAAAAAAACAATTTCAGGGAGCTTATGCACCAGTTAAAATTCATATTGGTCAGGCTGGATAACACATATCACCATACACTAAAAAGAATTCATTCAGGGCAAGTCATTTACATCGATACATTGCCTGGGGCACGACTGACGTATTTGCAGAGTAGTGTATCAGCAAAAAGCTGGGTTGTGATGAGCAGACAGATTACAGTGGGTGACTGAAGATGATCTCCCATTTGCCTGCCTACCCGTGACTCAAAAGCCATTGCTCTGTGGGATGCATACATCATGCTTTTAGCTGGGTTCTGTGCCCAAATCTCTGCTTTGCCCACATACAGGGACCAGCATCTCCTTCACAATGAAGTAGTCTGGGCTGCAATCTGAAATCTCTGTGTTGCTTACAGCACCACCGGTAAGCTATGGAGAACCATTCTGCCCTATGACCGTTTTGAGTGAGGAGAGCACTTTGGCCCTGTGGTTCACTGGAAAAGGAGCATGGAGCAGCTGGGATTAGTATAGTGCTGAGGTCTGTGGGATGTACTGATAGCCACACATATACATATACATATACATATACATATACATATACATATACATA